AAGAGAAGGCACAGGAAGTTGGTAACAGAACTACACCTTTCAAGCATAAAGAACTTTTAAACCAATAAATAATGATCCACTAATTTTCAGATCAGTGCTTCTCAAACTATCTATGATGACAGACCAATTATTTCTTATTAAAACTTCAACTCTATTATAGACTAATATTTATATAGAATTAATAAAATGATTTGAAAATCAAAAGAAAAAAAAACTTAAAAATTCAAGCCCTAGTTTTTGTATTATCATTACTAGATTCAACAGAAATAAAATGACTGTCGAACTGCTATCAAAGTTTCTAAATGTTCATTCACAGTTTCTAACAGTATCATTGCAAACTGTTCACAGTTCACGGAACCACACTGGTTCACAGAACACACTATAAGTAGCACTGTTTCAGAACATGTGAGATTAACCAATATAAAGGCTTTTCTGAACCTGTAAATTTCTTGGCAATTGTATAACTGAAGAAAAAAAAATTACAGGCAAACTTGATCCAGAAAACAGGTAAAATTTTCCTTGGTGTCTTTCCCACTCTGCAAAAATACCAGTGGCTCCTTTTTCTATAGGCGTAAAAATCAGAGTGAATTTTTTTTCTCTTTTTCAGTCTATCAATGATAGACATTTATGTTATTTGAAAAATGCCTAGCTCCCAGACTTAGTAATTTTAAATGAAATGTTTTCTGTTACAGCAAATAGGAACCCAATTATTTTATATTGACATATGTAGTTTACTGCCTTTCTCTCTTATTATCATCTAGATACTCGAAAGCAGCTAGTTTTCTTCAATTATTTAGCAATCTGCAAAAATATGATTTAGAACCAAAATTCCAAGTATATTTTAAATTGCATCTAATTTTCTAAAGAATAAGTCATTGTTATATTGCAGATGATTCAAAGTTTTAGAAATTTATTTCAAACCTAAAGTAGTTTCTAGTTTGCCCAGAAATACTTTTGGGGTAGTAAGATTTCAATCCTGACGAATGTCATTATATTTATACTATCCTTCCGGGTTGCTGTAGGAGTTGCTAGATGCTTAAAAAACTACTAGTTTAAAAATGTCTGAAAGAAAAAGAAATGTTTGTTACATTTTCTCTCAAATAAAGAAAAATATATGTACCATATTTAAAATGAAGATATTTGCCAAGTAATTTTAAAATGTGGATGGCAAAAGCTAGCTCTGCCTCAGTTTCGGCAAAACAGAGACTTTTTACTTTTGCAAGGCTCAAATGCCTTTTGAAATATTATAAACAGGAAATTTTTTAATTAAAAAAAGACCTTTGCAAATGAGAGCATTTTTTTTTCAATCTTCCTAATTAACATTTCTGTAGCACTGAACAAAGTATAGAATTTCTCAAGTTCACAATCTAGTTAGTACCCACAGCAACTCAGTTAGGCAGTTAAGACAAATATCAACACCTTTATCCCCAATAAGCCAAATGAAGAACCGTTGTTTAGAGAGCTCAACTGTGTTCTCAATCCCATCTTTTTTTACTTTACACACAATTTCATGGCAATTTCTTTCTTAAAGTTCATTTGATTACTCTAAGCACCTGTACCTAAAATAGTCTTAAGATCAGTTGGCAAAAAAACAAAACACTAGAACAACAAAACTTTACCAGTGATATTATTAATATGAGTAAACCCTGAGAAAAACACATGCATAGTACAGTCAATTTCTGCATTGATTAGAAAAGGAAAAAAACATGACAACAATATGCTAAAGTATTTTGATCACAGGTACATTATTCTATAATACAGAATTAAAGTCTATATATTCTTTAATTTTTATTTCTTCTGAAAAGTTACCACAAATATATGGCTAATCACTTAGATAAAAAGTAAATTAAGAAAATTTTCTTTTTCAGGTAAATACAAGTAATAGTCAATTTACCCATTAGCAGAAATAAGATTTTTGTTGCGGGTTTTTGAAAGTCTGTTTTATAATATCTTTAGGGGTTGGGAGAAGAGGTGAGTACAAAAGTAATGTTTTAAATTATACATTTCCATGATAAAAATATAAGTAAAATTATGTTACTTTTTAAATCCCTATCAATAGATAAGGAATCAATTATTTCATTAGGTGATATTTCAAGTATATAGTTAGAAGTTAAGCTTACTGTTATATTAGATGACAAAGGAGTAGAATTCTTTAAAAATATTCAGTATTATGGTTAGAGATTAATTCTATAGAATCGTTCTTTCTTTTCATCTGCTACCAGCAGAGACCAATCTATAGATCTATATTTCTTGAGTTTATTGCTCTCTCAATTCATCACTTGATAAATATGAGGTCATAAGAATATACTTAAATGCTTTTAAAAACATTTTAATATCAACAGCAAAACCAACTAGAACATTTCAATTAATCTTCATTTGAATTTTCAAATTAAAAAATCTATTGTAGTGTTTGAGCTAATTAACATGCATTTTCTTTTCCTTTAAGTTTAGTACAAATTTAAACATTAGAAGACGTACAATAAAATGTTCTAACCTATTTGATCCTGAGGAAAAACTCAACATGTAACTTTTTCCTTGCTCAACTATTCTTAGGGAAAAAACAATGGATTTTATGTAAATAAGGGCAAAACAAAATACAGAATCTCTTAATTGTGTTTTTTAAAGAAGGCATGGTTAGCTTAGTTATTTAAGGGAATATTTTCAACTAAGCGGTCATTATCATCAAAATTCCATGTTCTCTAGAGTCATATTGACTTACACCTATGTGTGCATTTTTTTCCCACAGAAACCTTCTTTTAAATGCATCATTGGCCCAAAATTTGGGTTCCACTCTCACCTATTGGAAAACTTTTAATTATGTTTGGAAAAACCTGGGTATGTGTACCTACTTTTAAACTGAAAATTTTATTAAATCTAAATATAGATCAAGTGCAGTCAGCCCTCAGAAACCATGGGTTTCACATCCATGGATTCAGCCAACTCAGATGGAAAATATTTAAAGAAAAAATGGACGGTTGTATCTATACTGAACACATACAGACTTTTTTCCCTTGTCAATATTCCCTAAACAATACAGTATAAGAATTATTTACATCACATTTACATTGTACTAGCTATTATTAGTAATCTAAAGATAATTTAAAGTATATAGGAGGATGCGCATAAGCTATATGCAAATACCACACCATTTTGTGTAAGAGAAACTAGTGTCCCGGGATTTTGGTAGCTGCAGGAGATCCTGCCACCAATCCCCCATGGATACTGAAGGATGACTACATTTCCAATGAAAATTTACCATCGGAATTAAGACTTGCTATATAACCAGATGTAATACAAAAGAAGAATGAAAAATCTCATTAATAAATTTTACATTGATTATATATTAAAATCATGATTTTTAATATATGGGGTAAATAAAATTACTTATTATTACAATTCATTAAACTGTTCTTTCCCTTTTTCAATATTGTTACTAAAAATTTTGAATTATGTAACTGGCTTGCATTTTATTTCTATCGGACAGAGGTGCCTCAGACAATAAATATAAAATCGACACTTTTGTTGAGTTCCTTGAAGTATAATTTACATGCAATAAAATTCACTCTTTTTATGCTCACAGTTCTATAAATTTTAATGAATGCATGCAGTCAGGTAATCAGCATATAAAACATTTTCGCCACCCCAAAATGTCCCCTCATGTCCCTTTGTAATCAACTTTCACCTACCTCCTCCAACCCCTGACAACACTGATCTGTTTTCTGTGCCTACAGTTTTGCCCCTTCTAGAGCATCCTAAGACTGGAATAATACAGCATGTAGACTTTTGAGTCTGGTAAAATCAAATTTAAAATACTATACTTCTCTATGGTATTAAAGGATTATGATAATTTTGATATTTCTTTTCCTTGTATCAAGAACATTTTACCAAGGCCTGTTTTTTTCCACTTTCAAAACTGAGCTTTCTTCCTTGTCACCCTTACAGTCATTTATTTACCCTTCTAGAATAAAACTTAGCAGATGGTATTACAGTTATTTACATTATAGTCCTTCCTCCCACTAGGCTGTAAGCTAGAAGCCTGACTTCTTGAACCACTATGTTTTATATAGCACTGATGCTGTCTAGTGGAGTTAACAATGCAGATGACAATGCTGAGAAGGTATTTCCCATCATGTTATAAAACAAGGTAAAGAGAGAAAAAAAAGAAGTGAGTGATGGATTTTATTATACTCTCTGGATTAGACATCTACTTTTATTGAAGACTCAGAAAAGAATATAAGGCTATAAAGAATCCAAGAACTATGATGCCTTCTAGACAGGTACAAATGCTAGTGGAACTTCGACTATGTCAATATTTTTACCCAGATTGCTATTGGTTTTGTCAGAGCTTGCTAACAAACTCGAGTAAACTTGAAGTAGTCTTTCTAATGCTATTTTTCTCATAACTCTGTTATTTCTGGTATCTGATTTTACAGAACATAAAGTTTTTCAGGAATACATGTATCACATTGTAACAGAAACAGCTGGACCTCTGGAAGGTAAGGACTTAATAAATTCTAAGACTTTATCTGAAAAGTCTAATATTTATTTGTAATCGTTAATCTTCACATAGTTAAATACATGAAATATAAGAAATCTATGTTTTGGCCGGGCGTGGTGGCTCATGCCTGTAATCCTAGCACTCTGGGAGGCCGAGGCAGCAGGATCGCTTGAGGTCATGAGTTCGAGACCAGCCTGAGCAAGAGCAAGACCTCATCTCTACTAAAAAATAGAAAGAAATTAGCCAGACAACTAAAAATATACAGAAAAAATTAGCCGGGCATGGTGGCACATGCCTGTAGTCCCAGCTACTTGGGAGCCTGAGGCAGGAGGATCACTTGAGCCCAGGAGTTTGAGGTTGCTGTGAGCTAGGCTGATGGCAAGGCACTCTAGCCTGGGCAACAGAGTGAGACTCCGTCTGAGGAAAAAAAAAAAAAAGAAATCTATGTTTTAAATAGATAAATCAAATATTATTCCTGACTTCAATGTTTCAAAATACTTACTAAAGTCTCCAGTAAGAAAAACGCCTTCTGCTCCTGGGGCCCATTCTTTGCAGTATAAACCACCATCAGCACATCTGTGGACACCAAATGATTCATAGCCTCTGGAAAACTTATCAATACCACCTTCATTCTCTCCAATGTTGCTCAAACTCTGGCAAAACTGTTTATACCTTTGAAAAAGTACAAAAGGAAATAAGTTAGTAAATTAGTCATCTGGAAAATCTCCTGTAATTAAGTAGCTGCTTTAGTCTTAGGGAAAAAAAGATTATCATTAAAGAGAAATAATATGAATAATTACATTTATTGGTAGAGGTTACCTGGCAGCATAAAAGCATTATAATCTCAAATAAACCCAAAAAATCCAACTAACATTTTTTTATAATTTCAAGCATTGTTGGTAAGAGAGAGGATATATGATGCTTATGCTGCTATTCCACGATTTTTTTTAAAAGCAGCATTACAGCACCTTCTATGTCAAGATAGTATAATGAAGCAGAATCTCTACATCTTTCTCCTCTGACTCCTAAGAAAATGAAAGTAAAATAGTGAAAATCCAGCAGGAAAAATAAACATACCCTATGCCAGGATTTAGCAAACTTTTCCTGTGAAAGGGTGCATGGCAAATACTTTAGGTTTTACCAGCCATATGGTCTCTGTCACAGCTTCTCAACTGTGTCTCTGAAGCATGAAACGGGCCACAGACAATATGGTAATGAGTGGGTGTGTCTGTATTCCAATAACACTTTATTTACAGAAACAAGTGGTAGGACAGATTTGGCCTGCAGGCTTCAGTTTGCCTAGTCCTTTCCTAAAGCAACTAAGCATGGCAAGAACATAGATCATGTCAAACCACAAAAGCCAGCAGCCAGGAGAACAAACACAAGATTCCCAGGCAGGACCAAGAATAGCACATGCCTACTCCTGACCTTCTCCCAGTTGCCCTGGATTCTGTACTGGTACACCAAAAAATATTACCTGTTTTCATTAATACCCCCTCTATCTGGGGAGATGTAAACTAGGAAGAAACTGGTTAAACTGAAGAAGTAAACCAAGTGGCAGGTGCTCTGTGTCAGAAGCAAAGTTTCCAGAACTACACAATGAATTGAGCAATGCCAACAAGCTTCCCTGCACCTCCCTATACCCTCAAGAGTGAGCAAGAAATTCCCAGAAAGATGGCATAAATCCAGGTAAAGGATATACAGGAAATACACAAAATTTGAGAGGCTGAACAATGATGAACACCCCAATTTAGTTAGAAAAAAAATGAACCTTTTAACAAATGTTTTACTCTATACAGCAACTTAATTAAATGAACTCAAAAAACAAGAGCTGACAAAACAACAGGATGAGAAGTAAAAGGAGACCATAGACGAAAGGAAACAGACGAACAAAATATATCACTAGAAAATAATGAATAAATTAGAATCATTAAGGAAAAAATGTACATATAGCAAAAATAGCAAATATTTTGTTGAATGAAGAAATAATTAGAAATTGAAATAATTACACAGAAAAGAAATTGAATATATTGAGAAACTAAGAGATACCCAAAACACACAAAAACTGATCCAAACATAGCTGTTGATCTAAAAAAATAAAACTAAATAAAATGGATATAGAAGATATAAAACTGGAAATTTTTCCTAATGTAAAGGATTAAATCTGCATATTAAAAAGAACATACCATGTTTCAAGGAAACTTTGGGAAACAAACACACACACAACATATCCCAGGTTAAGCAACTGAAGTTCCAAAGATAAATAAGGCTATAGACAACCTGCCAGAAAAGGGCAATATTATATTAAAGGCCAAATAATAAAGCCAAGCCCGCACAATTCTAAGAAGGAAAGTAATAATCTAAGAATATTCTAAGTTCCTACTCAAATCTAAGGAATTTTCAAAATATTTTCTAATGAAAAGTGATTTTAAGTTGTGACACTAATGAACTATTCCTGAAGAAAAAGTAACTACTTTCCATAAAAAAATTGGCAATTGAAACATTAAAAATAAATACACACAGGAGTGGACAGTTGTTACAGAAGTATAGATAAGCACTAACTCTTTAAATATAGAACCATGACTAGACAATTGTGGAAATGTACGAATGTGATCACAGAAAAAGGATCTCAAATGACAAAGTAAAAGTATCAGTATAAAAAAAAAAAAACAGATGAGAGAAATGAAGATGGAATTTTATAGCAGAGAATCAAATACTCAACTAAAATTTAAGTTAATCATCACTATACATTTTAATTTCTTTATTAATCTTTAATGTGCATTTAGTAAATAATACCTATTACAGTAAAGAAAGTTGCAGATGAATTTCAACAATTTTCTTTGATTTCACTTCAGTTTCATTGTTTAAAATAAATTAAAATTAAATTTAATGCACATTTATTTTATTATTTATTTCTGTCAAGCTCTTTATCTTTATACCTATAGATAAGCATATAAAAATATGAAGAATGATTCCCTTAATATTAATATCAGTGAAGAATTTTTTTGGTGAGGTTTCTTTTTACTTTCTCCCTTGCATTGTTCTAATTATGTATAACAAATAAGCATCATTTTTAAAAAATAAAGTATAGTTTTCCTAAAACTATGTAATTTTTTACATTATTTAAACAGCAACGTACTCCTATACGATATTCATAGGTATTTTATGGAGTATATAAAACTGTTTAAAAAGTTTAGGAAACTAAACCATCTGAAATTAATCTATGGAACGAAAATAAGTTTCTGAAATTCTTAAGCATATATAGAAATTAAATACATGATAAAAGAATATTTCAAATCAGTAAAAAAAGTATGGCTTATTCAATAAAATATTAAAATCTATAAATTCGCCTGTAATCCTAGCACTCTGGGAGGCCGAGGCAGGAGGATTGCTTGAGGTCAGGAGTCCGAGATTAGCCTGAGCAGGAGCGAGACCCCATCTCTACTAAAAATAGAAAGAAATTAGCCAAAACAACTAAAAATAGAAAAAATTAGCCGGGCATGGTGGCGCGTGCCCGTAGTCCCAGCTACCCCAGAGGCTGAGGCAGGAGGATCACTTGAGCCAAGGAGTTTGAGATTACTGTGAGCTAGGCTGACACCACGGCACTCTAGCCCAGGCAACAGAGTGAGACTGTGTCTCAAAAAAAAAAAAAAATCTGTAAGTTTGTCATTACAAAAGTGGATCTCTAAAATCAAAATAACCTCCAGAGAGATCAGAGTGGTAAACACTAACTTTTTAAAAGTAAATAAATCTAAGAGTTCATAGAAAAAGAAATACAATAACCATTAGGAAAAATGCTCAAACTTATACATACATAACCAGAAAAGTACAAATCTAAACTTAAAAATTCAATTTTCCACCTAAAAGACCAGTAAACATAAGATAGTCTGTGCAGATGGATGGGATGCAGTTCTGTGGTTGGGATGGGGGTATGGGCAGTGCAGGGAGACATTTTCAAATGCTCTTTGTTGAAATGTAAATTAGAGAACAATTTGGCATCAGCTATGAAAATTTCAAAATCACACTTTTCAACTAAGTAATTCCATTTTTAGAAATTTGCCCTTTGGATATACATCACACAAGAAAGGAACGACATCCATGTGTACAATGATATTTATTCATTATGGCATTATCTGTAACACCAAACCATAGAAAACAACCTATCTATTCAGCAGTGGGAAAGTAGGTGAATAAACACAGAATATCCAAGCCACAAATTATAGGAGAGCCATTAAGAAGAATGATGTAGAGCAAAATGTGCTGATATAGTATTATGCCCAAGATTAACACCAGTCTCATGGGCAATTCTTATTTCAGGGGACACAAACTGAACTGCCCACAAAAGCCAGGCAGGTATCATAAATATGATTAGCTGGCCCCACATAAGAATCACAAAAGTCCAAAGCCGATGATAAAAGAGTGAACAAGGAGGTTTGCCTTAGATTATGGAAAACAATGCAGAAAGATAGACTGTTGAGATAGAGAATATAAACCCTGTCTAAAAGCAACAGCTTCCATTTAACAGCTAGCAACTCATTGTTACCAAGCATGTTTTACCCAATCAGGTCATTATTCAAGAACAAAAAAATTACGTATTTATATATGAACTCTCCCTAATTTAAATATTGACTACTGCTTCAAAATACCTAAAATATTGACCTGGACAAACAAACCAGATCTACAGGTCTGCTGGGATACCATATAAAAACTCTTTAAATCATATGAGAAAAAAAAATTATTTTTAATCTCTTGCAGCTATCAGTCAGTTATACTTCTTTTTATTTGGAAACTCTAATCCATATTAAATGACATAAGTAATAACATAAAATAAAATGATCAAACATTGTGGAACAATCAAAAATATTTAGACTTAGAGCAAAAAATACATATACATGTATATCATAACACTAGAAAAATTGTTGATTTTTTTAAAAAGGTATGAACTTTGAGAGGTTAAATAAATGGGTTAATAATTTTGTTGTTAATGTGGGTATAATGCCTTAAAAACACATTTTTAGATTTTAAGTTTACGTTTAAAAAATTATTTTTTAAGAAGTTTTAAATTTTCAAATGTCCCATTTGCTAAAATTTCAATGGAAACAGGATTATAGCATATTAGTCTAACTAAATATCTTGACTTCTCTCAAGGTCAGCCCTATGGCTTCTGATACAGAAATACACATTCCACTTTGAAATCATTGTGGCTCAAAAAAGAAAATGCCTGAGGATACAGCAGGCTCATCATGCCTGTGCCCTCGCCTACTACAGTCATCTCTCTTAATATTTTGCTATGAATTTATAGGATATTTAAAAACTAGGTCAAATGTTTAGTAACCAAGAACATAAAATGAAGTTAGTATAGGAGCTAGCATTTTGTACAGATATAAAGAACTGCGATAAATATTATCAGATTTGATCTCTACATGGATGTTTTTAATCCCCTTTTACATAGGAAGAGATAGAGGCACAGATAAATATGTAAATTATCCAAGGTCAAGAAAGTAATAAGCAATAGGAACATTAATCACGAAAGGTGTACTTGAAGTAAATTTCAAATTAAAAGTCATACTTTACTTTTAAAGAAAGTCCTTTATGTTTTACTGGTAAGGTAATTAATCTGATAATTAAGAAAATCAGTTGTAGATGTTACTAGCTTCGTTTCTAGAAACAAA